TCCTCCGACTCCTCCTCGGACTGTTCGTCCGAAGCCTCCTCTGACCCCTCGTTGGACCCCATGTTCTCCCGGGCGGCCAGGAGCGCCAATACCTCCCCCAGTTTGCCTTTGGGGTATTTGTACTTCCCGCCTTCCCAGGCGTTTTCTTTTTCCTCCTTCATCACCTCCGCCATGTCCTGGGCAGCCAGGAGCGCCACCAGCTCCAGAAGGCCCCCCTCGTCCTCACCGTGCTCGCTCCAGCCCCCGAAGAGGCCACACCCAGCCTTCTTCGCCTGGGGAGGGAGATCTGGCTGCGCCAAGGTGGAAATGCACTCCCGGAGGTCCCCGTCGTCCCCGGCCTTGCGCAGGACCACGGCGTCCACCTCGCGGCCCGCCTCCTCCACCTTCACGCGGGTCCCGTTAGTGTCCTTGGACATAACGGACAAGACCTGTTGGAGGGCGTCTCGCTTGTCTTTCTCGTCGCTCCAGCCTAGAGACTCGATAACAGAAGCGATTTTCAACATCTCCTCCCGGGCCCAGGGATCCGACGGGTCGGTATAGGCCACAATGGCCACGAACTCAGGATTATCCAACCCCTCTGTTTCTTGGTCCTCACTTTCCTGCGAGTCGCTCTCCGAAGCGTCGCTGTCCACCGGCTCCTCGTCCGGGGTGTCTCTCACAGCCAGCAGGGCCACTAAGTCGGGGACGCCATTTTTGTCTTCTTTGGTGTTCAAGCGGATGGATTCGGCCCCAGCTGGCTCCTTCTCTGCCTCTTCTTTCTTCGCTTTGTCGGTGACAGTGACCAGAGCCAAGAACTCGCGGGGACCATCTTCCCCCTCCGAGCTGCAGGGCGCCCACTGCCTAACCAGCTCCCTGGCAGCCGCCTGGAGCGTGGCGTACAGCGCACTCTGGTCCTCGTCTCCGCTCAGGTCCCCCTGGTCGATCTCCTCGATCACGATGCCCAGGCTCTCATCGGAAGAGTCCTCCGCCTCACTCCTCGCGGAAGCAGACGGCCGCCCTCCTCGGCTTCTCTTCTTGCCCTTCTGGGTCAACCTGTTGCGTCTGGTTCTGTTTCTACGACCCCGACGGCCCCTCCTTGCGTTCCTGGCTGCCCCAAGAGGCGAGCCAGCCTGCCCTGTCACCTCCCCAGAATCCTGGGCCTGGGTCTCCGAAGCTGGAGGGGTGGGCGCCTCCCCGGGGGCCCCAGCCTCCGCGGCCTGCGTGGGTCCGTCATCCAGCAGCAGGCGTCTCATCTGCCTCAGGACCCTCGTGTCCTGCGCACGGTCCTTCCACAGAACCCTCCAGACCCCGTCCTTGCCTGGGATCTCCCTGGGAATGGCAGCGTGATTGACGTCCTCCACAAACTCCACCAGGGCGGCCTGGGCCTTCTCGTTCATCAAGCCCTTCATGTGTCGCAACCTGAACGTGCCCAGGGGCAGGAGGGTCGGCTGCAGGACGGCTTCAACGTCTGCCTGCTCCAGACCCTCCGGGATGCCGGTGACCAGCAGGGCCCTATGCGCGTCCACGTCCAGGCTCCGGCACCAGTCCTGCAAAATGCTCATGGCCATGGTGCCGCCCCCTCGGCGCTGATCTTGGAGCAGCAGGGAGCCCGAGATAGGGGTGGGCTGCAGCGCACGGTGTCAATGCAACCCTGGCAAGCCACCCGCAGGGCTTAGAGTCCCGGTTCCGGTGAATGTGGCAAGGCTGGAGTGGGACTCGGGCCTCGGGGGTTCTAGCTACCTGCTGGCCGGCTGGACGCAGTGACCCTACCCCGGGACCCCTCTCCAGAGCTGTCTGAGGATCCGCAGGGGGCTTACGTGTCTGCTTTCCAGGGCAGCTCCCTCCCTCTCTGACAGAGGCCTGAGTGACTCGGCACCGCGACCAGGTGCAGGGGGCGGCGCCGAGTGCACCTGGAGGGGCGTGGGTGGTGGGAGCCAACGCTTGCCTGGCGCCCGCGCGGCGTCTGAGCGCGCACCCTGGGCCTGAATCTCAGCAGTTCCGCTGCGACGCGGCTGCTCCGGCCTGCGCCTGCGCAGACGGAGCCGCACGCCCTCCCCTGTCCCCCGCCCAACCGTCTCCATGGCAACGGTGCAGCCTTGAGCTGGGGTCTGCGTCGCTGTGGCCTGAGACGCTTCTCTTAAAGGTCCCCATAAGAAGGACTTGGGGCCTGGAAGCACCACTTTCATTAACCAGCAAAAAACGCCGAAACCACAGAGGGCCAGAAATCATTCGAGGAGACCCGACCTCATTCAGGGGATATGAAGCCTCCTTCCAGGGGGTACAGGCTTCACTGGGGGTTACAATTCCCCCTTCCAGTGGCCAGGTGGAATTCAGGATTATATAGGCCTAAATCAAGGGGCACTGGCCTTGTAGCGTGGGACCACGACTTACTCGGGATACTGGCCTCAGTCACAGTATACGGGTCTCAGTATCAAATGGGGGGCCCAGGCGCCATCTGTGAGCAAGACACCATTCAGGGTATATGGGCCTCACTTGCAGGGTACAGGCCCCACTCAATGGCACCCGCCCTCACTCCCACACACGTTCCTGTATTCTGAACTATGCATGCACAATAAATCCTGTGGTTTTGCACACGCTTTGAGCATATGCATGATTGTTAGACCTGCCATGAATTTTGCAAGAAAGCATTTCCCTTGACAGGGACAGCAGACTGGGGCCTGTGAACGTCAGTCATAGCTACTGTAAACATGCATTTGCTTCTCTGTCCCTTGTTGGCCATGAGGCTGTCCCCTACTCTATATGAATCTGGCTCTGTAGCCCAGCTGGTAGGTTTATATCTCAACCATTGTCCCTACCTCAAAGGGTTTTTTGGTTTTGTTTTTGTGGTGTTTTGTTTTGTTTTGTTTTTGAGATGGAGTCTTGCTCTATCATCCAGGCTGGAGTGCAATGGCACAATCATGGTTCACTTTAACTTCCACCTCCCAGGTTCAAGCAATTCTCCTGCCTCAGCCTCCTAAGTAGCAAGGATGACAGACCTCCCAAGTAGCTGGGATTACAAGCATACACCATCACATCTGGCAAGTGTTTGTATTTTTTGTAGAGATAAATTTTCACCATGTTGTCCAGGCTGGTCTCAAACTCCTAACCTCAAGTGATCCGCCCACCTCAGCCTCTGAAAGTGCTGGGATTACAGGATTACATGGTGAGCCACCATGCCTGGCCTCAAAGGGTTCTCATGAGGATTAAAGGGAATAATCCAGGAAAGCATTTGGAAGAGAGGCTGGCCCACAGCTAGTGCTCCATGAAAGATGGCTAAGACAAGTATTTATTGAGAACTTAGCATTATAAAAGCATCTGTTCTGTTGGTTTGTTTTTGAGATGGAGTCTTGCTCTGTCACCCAGGCTGGAGTGCAATGGAGCAGTCTCGGCTCACTGCAACCTCCACCACCCGGGTTCAAGTCATTCTCCTGCCTCAGCCTCCCGAGTAGCTGGGACTACAGGCATGTACCATCATGCCCGGCTAGTTTTGTTTTTTGTTTGTTTGTTTGTTTTGAGACAGAGTCTCGCACTGTCACCCAGGCTGGAGTGCAGTGGCGTGATCTTGGCTCACTGCAACCTCCGCCTCCTGGCTTCAAGCCATTCTCCAGCCTCAGCTGGGATTACAGGTGACCACCACCACACCCAGCTAATTTTTTGTATTTTTAGTAGAGACAGGGTTTCGCTATGTTGGGCAAGCTGGTCTCAAACTCCTGACCTCGTAATCCACCCACCTCAGCCTCCCACAGTGCTGGGATTACAGGTGTGAGCCACTGCGCTCAGCCTAGTTTTGTATTTTTAGTAGACGGGTTTTCACCATGTTGGCCAGACTGGTCTCAAACTCCTGACCTCAGGTGATCCGCCAGCATCGGCCTCCCAAAGCGCTGGGATTACAGGCATGAGCCACCGTGCTCAGCCCAAAGCATCTGTTAATAAACAAATAAATAGGAAACCAAAACACCTCAAGTTTTTTTTTGTTTTGTTTTGTTTGCCACCAGACCCACCCCGCTACTGTTGTGTTTGGATTTTTTTACGTTTAAGGACAGTTTAATTGCAAGGTTACCATGGCAACTGGGCAAACTGCTTACTCACTCCCATTTTCCACCACTTGTTCCTCCTCTGATCTTCCTGATCCACAGATGGATGTGATGTGACTGTTGTCTCCGGAGCAGCATTGTTCAGCAGGAATGGAAAGCCAGCCCCAAATTCTAACTGCATGTGTAATGTTAAAATTTCTAATTGCGGCCAGCCAGCACTGACCTCAGGTGATCCACCCACCTCAGCCTCCCAAAGTGCTGGGATTACAGGCGTGGGCCATCATGCCCAGCCCAAAGTGTCATTTTTGACATGTGAATCTCCAATCTAGGCTGGGCACGGTAGCGCACGCCTGTAATCCCGGCTACTTGGGAGGCTGAGGCAGGAGAATCACATGAACCTGGGAGGCAGAGGTTGCAGCGAGCTGAGATTGTGCCACTGCGCTCCAGCCCTGGGAGACAGAGGGAGACGCTGTCTCAAAAAAAAAA